CATATCCATCTAAGCCCCCATATATCCGTATAACATTCTATAGTACCCCTTCGCAGGAGCTTCCGCATACAATCCCCCCAATAAACCCATATGAATCCCTGCACGCCCCGGGGATTAACCTCTGTACAACCCCTAATTGCCATTTCATGCTCCACTCGATTCGCCATTATTGTGGTAATACCCCCTCAACCCGAAATCCCTGACCCTACGTACTGGGTTAGGCCCCCACCCAGCCAAGGTGGCTCTATAGGCAAATATAGGGCTCTAATATAATTACCCTTATCCTGTATATTTGCTATTAGTGGTGGGGGCCCAGCCTGACCTAGATATAGCAGAATCCTTTAAGTCCCTATATCCTAAGGGCAACCATGAGAAAATCGGGTTCCTGTTCAGGAAGTTAGATTGGGCTCCTATATTGGACAAGCAACTCGAAACTGAAATGGAAGCTAGGGTCGTAATTACACCGGTTACGTGAAGATTTGAAGAGCTTTGATTACACCACGTAAATGATGTGGTGTTTCACTACGTGAATGATATGGTGTCCGCATAACGGTAACTCAATTTAAGTTCCCAAAGCCCTAAACCCTAAACCCTACGGCCCTAAAACAGCAACCCAGACAAGGCATCCTTCGCGAGCTACACGCCCAGGCTGTCCTGCAGCCAGGCCATGGTAGGAAAGACGCTGCGGTGTAGGGTTGAGGGTGCGGGGCTCATGGTGTAGGACTTCAGGAGTTAGGGGTTGGGATTTAGGATTTTGGGTTTAGAATCTTGCAGAAGAGGGCTTAGGTTTTGGGCTTTCGGGTTGAGGACTTCGGGTTTGGGATTTGGGTATCAAACTAAGGGGTTCATAGTAACCCTGAATGAGGCTCACAAAGGCCGAAGCACAAAAATGGGATCCAAGAGATTTGTTGCAATTACCTTTGAGGGCACCCACGTGAAAACTACCCACCTGGCTGTGTCGTTGTGTAAGTTTTTCCTTGCCGGGCTCTCAAAGCATGGGGTGTAGACAAGTTTCCAAGTCACCGTCCATCTTGGATTGCGCAAGAGTTGTCCTGTGGAAGTTGAAGGTGAATTCTAGACATTTTCATGGTGTTGACGGCATCTGAAGGCCAACCCAGTACGCAACCAACATCAACCAACTGGGGGTTGATGTTAGGGGGCTCCCTGTTTGAGAATCTCTGCCGGTGTTGGATGGACACTGGGGTATGACGGTGAAATAATTCCTGTTGCGGTGAGTTCTGCTCCTCCTCGTCCCATATGGAGCTTGTTGAAGTTCTTGGTGTTCCTCTGGGGTTTCATGTGCTACTGAGTACGTTCTTCTGGGGCTGATTGCTTGAGGGGAGCCGAGATGCCATATCTCCTGCGAGGTCAAGCACAAACTCTCCTCTTCCGCCTTGGCAGAGTTTGCCAGACACTCACAGACCAACAGTTGAGAGCGGCGGTGGATGCGCTGCTGGATCCGCTAGAAGGCAAGCTTTGGTGAGGAGATTTGGGTACATGACATACAGAGACATCCCCCCGCAGATGAACACAAGGCCATAAACAGCACAAGCATCGTCAAGTAGGCGAGCTTTCGCCCGAAAGTAGTGCATGGAGAAGCAGACCCATTAAACGGCTTAAACAATGCAGCACTGGCCTTCGAAGGACATTTCAGGTAGGTAAGGGAATATGTCTCGCTTTCCTGGAAGGTTTACAGGCCGGGAAGGAGTAGTTCCAGTAGATCAGGAGCGCAGTTGGGCATGATACTCACCACGCTGTGCTTTTCCTGGCTTCTAGGTAACGTTCAGGGTCTCTACAGTTGAGGTTTGGGGGTTTGACGTGCAAGCAAGACTTGGAGATCCAAAAAAAAGCACTTCTGACGCCCAAAAGGGCTTACAGAAACAACGGGGTCTTTTGAATGGGGATTAGAGAGTTCCATGGTTACTTGGCAAGGATAGCCTGAAACTTACTTTGGCGTTGCCCCATGAGTTTCTTTATCTTCAATGTCAAAAAGCCTCTTCCTCCAAGATATCCACCCCCCAAGATAAGTTCTGATCAAATGAAATGAAGATGAGGCCGTAAGGGAGGTGATCTATAGCAGTGCTCAGATGTTCGCATCTGAGCTCGGAGGTTGTTTGTACAAAGCTTGTACGGAATGCTTTACATGGAATTGTGTCTCCGGAGCACTTTGTCTTCTTTTGCAAGCTCCCAAGCTTCTTCGAGCCTCCCAGACCACAACCAACACTGACCAGTAGTCACAGCAGTCATTGCCTGTTTGTTTTGGAGGATGCCATGTGCATCTGTGTAGTTTTTGTGGGGCTTTCTCCAGATTAAGGCCATTAAGCTTGATTCTGAACAAACGGCATTGTCATGCGCATTTGTGCAGGTTCTCTGCGTGACCCACACACGAAGGCCGGGATCGGCTGCTTTTTGCGAGAAACTCTGGTTATCAGCTCTTCAAAATGTAGGTGCCAGACCCTTTGACAGGGCTGTGCCATGTATGAAGCATCGTATCACGCAGAGGCCCTCACACAAGACATTTACTATCTGAGGGCCGGGGCAGCTCCTTTGCAGTTACCATTTCCGTTGTGCTACTCGCAGAATGCTCGCCGATGGAAGGTCGAGAAGGGGACCTTACTAAGGCCTCATGGAAGTCTGACCTTTTCCATTGAGCTGTACACCTTCTAGGAACCCTTCCCAATTGGCACCATATCATGAGAGACAGCGACGAGGTCGATTCAAGAGCTTTAAGTGGCTTGGCACTGTCCATCGCCCGCGTCTACCCTCGGTGTCCTTCAGTACCTTGCCTAAATCAGCAGAAAGGATCTGATAGGTCTGGGACATTTAGAACAACCCAAGCATGGTTGAACCAGCTCATTGATCACAATCACTTTCGAATACCTGCAGTGGCAAATGGAACCCTGTCACTCATTCAGATCCATGATAGATTTACCACCAAAAGTTCGTACTTGCATTCAGCTAGGCTGATATGTCTTGAACTTGGTCTTGTAGCGTCTGCATGGATGCAGCACTCCATCTTGATTGCTGTCCTTGCAAGGCTGCCAACAGCCCTTAACACCGAAAAATGCATTGCCTTTTTGAGAAGTTCGTAGTATTCCCATGCCATCCCCTCTCATCAAAAACCTATAGCCCCCCTTAAGTAGATAGGGTATGGGGTTTTTATAGGGGTTACATAGGGATAATGGAAAAGAAAATGGAAACTACTATATTATATTCGGATATACATTGGGGTTATAGTCCACCTTAAGTAGATAGACTACGGGGCACATGGGAATCTCATTTTACCCAAAGCTATATTCTATCTACTTAAGGGGGACTATAAAAACATGCCACTCTGAGCATCCCATTTTTTGTGGCCAGCAAGGCTAGACTGCAAAGCCTGGCCGAAGAGAGCGCGCAGCTGCTTCTCGCGAGTAAAGCTGCCAATGCCCAGGTTCGCCTCCGTAGAACCTTGAGGGCCCAACTATGCGGCCCATACTTAGAATGTCAAAAAACTTGATTGAGACAACCTAGATTCCAGATTTCTTGGACTTAGGCTTTATGGGGTTGTTCTGACTTTAGCTTTGGTATCGCGTGAGGTTTAGTGAGCCCAGCATGCGGGGCAAGAACAGGATATCTTGTAGAGATTGATAGAGGGGTAGGCAGAGATTGTGGGATTTGACCGGCTTTCCCAAAATCAGGGCCCTCGAGCCCTTCTCCAGACGCTTGCCACCGTAATGCACGATGACCTGGTGCCAGTGTGGGGAGCGATGATTCCAAGAGTACGCAAAGACGGATTAGAGCTAACTTATTCCCTCACGGAATAACAAGAAAGGTTGCGCAGCAGAGCAAAGAACAGAATAATGAGAAACTCTCAATTGGAGGCTGAAAAAGAGAAGAGAAGAGCAACCAGCCACCTTCAAGCAATTGCATGAACCCCTCCAAAACTCCGCCCGAACTTAGCTAGTGGACCCCGGAAAATTAAAAATTCATGGTTGCTTTTTTGGGATTGGCTATAAGCATTCATTATTCTATGCGCTACTGGAGGTATATACCCCCTCGTGGTCTGGGTCCTATGGTTTCATGGAGGTCTTTATAATGCTTGTCATGATTTCTTTTGTCGACGGCTTAGAGACTTACCTACACCCTGTGGCCGGTTGTTCTGTGGTGTGGGGTCTATAGATACGGCCTTCTCCCCAAATGGAACCATAGTTACATTGGAGGGGACTGGGAACGCAGCCCGCCGACGCTTAGATCACCCCTTTGAACCCCACATGAACCTCATCATATAAACCCCCATACAACCCCATAATGCCCTGATCACCGTATATCATCGCCATAAAATCCCCTGAAGGATATCGCCAACGCAGCTTGGGCGCTGGGCCGCCTGCATGGCTCCGAGCGCGCTGCGCATTTGGCTTCGCAACTCCTGGGCCAGGCGGGCTTAGGGTTTAGGGGTTTAGGGTTTTGGGCTTGGGGTGAGGGTCTAGATTTTGCTCAAAACGAATCTAGGGTTTAGGGTTTAGAGAGCCTTTGGGGCTTTGGGGGTACTTTTGGACTGCAAGGGGGTATTGAGGGTCCTGGGAACGATTGGAGATGGATGGTTTTGAGAATTCTACATTCCGACAGAAGGTTGATCTGATGCTTGCAAGATCCATATTGTAGACTTTTGAGTTGGATGCTGAGGCATCAAGGGTTTAGGGCTTCATGGGGCCGAGCATTGTGAGGATGGGCATGAGTCCTTCTAGCGGATTCTAGCGGTCGAAGGTACACCTTTCACAGGGGTGAGGTGGGTTAGAGGTCGAAGGGCTTCATGTTTCCGAGAAAGATACGCTAATGGTTGAGTTCTTTCCTTGTTCCACCCAGGTTCACCCATCATCGCCTCCCCTTGAACTAGGCAAACTATGACGTGCTGAATCGAGCTCGCCATTAATGTTGCCTAGCATTGGCTATGTACCGCCTGAATGCAGGGACGTGCATCATGCTGGTTAGCCCAGCTATCAGAGAGGAGTTTTCCTGGAATGCAGCCTCTAGTTAAGGATATTCGAGACGCCAAGCCCAAGGTCACAAACCTTAAGGTTAAAACTTAAAGTAATTGAAGCTATCAGCGCTCTTCCCTGAGGCCTCGGAAGAGTTTGGCGCTGTGGTCACTTCTCAGCACAAGCAGAGCAGTGTCATGCCAAAGGGTTGAGGGTTTACCGTGTACAGGCATTAGTTAGGGTTTACGGGGAGAAGAGGTTTAACCCATCACCTCCCCCTAGTATTGAAGCTCCCCCCATCCCCCCAATTTTCAGCAATTCTCCCCCCAACATTGTTGATAGCATCCTCTTGGGAATGCACATCTTCAGGCAGTGAGGCTGCTGTTTTTGCACAGAGGGGAGCTATGCTTCTCAGGCTGTCTGGGATAAGACTTTGGAACCCACGCTGTTCCTCTAAGCAGGCTGAAGCTCTGTTTTGTCTCTGCTTAAGCTTAAGACCGAAGGAATGCAAGGAATGACGATACAAATGGCCCCCTAGTTTAACAGTGGGCTTCATAGTCTCCAGAATCAAGATTCCCTCTGTGACCAGAGAGAGGGGTAAAATTTGCTAGCCTGCCAAGGAAGGACTCGAGTCATCTGTGTGGAATTGTCTCGCAAGTTCGCGAGGGCACACGATTGCAGGAACTCTATGAAAATGGGAGTGTAGCCTCCTCGCTGAGCCTCACCCACCCAGAATGGGACCTTGCGCGGCCGTCCCGCCCTTCAAGTGGCAATTGCTACTTCTTTCTCTGAAGCCTAAGCCTCTAAACTCTGAACCCAGAATCCCTAAACCCTAAACCCTATCACATGGATCCGTAGAGAATTCCAAGGGATCTCCCCTGCAGAGCCGAGGACCTGGCCCAAAGTCTGTGGGCGCGCCTGGGTGCATGGAAAGCTCCAGTTTTGAGTGTAGGTTTAAGGGGGCTTAAGGGATTCGGATTTGGAGGGAGGGTTAAGGATTTTGGGTTTGAGATTTGGTGCGTTAATGATTTAGGGAGTTGGGGTTTGAGGTCAACCTAGAAGTTCTGGACTGATGTTTACATTCTCCTGCATGACAGATCCCTAAGCATACCAGAACCGTTTCCCATTTCCTTTCTATCTCCCAAGCCCCATCAAGGAATTCACAGCTGACTTATCATGAAAGCCCAACCCCGGATACTACAGCACTTTGCATGCGTCGTTGTTCAACATACGTCGCATTTTTTGTACGGAGTCTAGATGGGGAACTTTAATCAAGTAGAAGAAATTTCTAAAGCTTCCCGATAACACGAAGCCCATTGAAGGGAGTAGAAGTTGGATCTCCAAAGATGCCCCAGGTGTGCAACCTTGAAGCTGGACCAGGGCCTTGCACAGCCGCTCTTCTCAGCTGCGGCAGAGAAGTGCACCGAATTCACCGTTGTGGGCCTGCAGGGTTCTCAGAAGGTACTTGAATGGGGCCGGGTAGTACTGATGGCGGTCAACCTACGAAATCGCAAGTTTTCGGGACTACAGCAGGATGTCCAGATTGCTTGGGGAAGGGCTGTAGAATTCTTAGCTTGCTAGACCTTAAGTGCTAGCAGCTACCATGTTTCAATAAAGACTTTGTTTGCGTCTCTCCCCACAGAAACACTTTGACAATGCCTTGCTGATTTTCCAGATCCTTCTGCGCCAGACAGAGTAAGCCCCTTTGGTTTGACATGGTCTTGGCTTTTCCTACGTCCCTCGTTTGGGGCTCTCGTTGCTCCTTGAACTCAAGTACTTCCACTTAATTTGAACACACCGGGGGTCGCGGCGCACTAGCCTGGGCGCAACATCAGGCAAGAGGCCGACAGTCAGTCTCACAAATCTTCGTGCGGTTGCCCCCATGTAGGAAAAAGTACTCTTATTGTTTGCGGGTCCGAGTTGTTAACTCGCTGCTGAAAATGTGTGCCTGAGGTCCAGCGTGATGTGGTCTGCAGCAGCGCTTGCAATTACCGACCCCGGGGCTTGCTATGCGATGAGGACCCAGGTGTGGCAAATGATTACATTTGTTGGTATGCGCTGGGGCAGATTTTGAATTTTTGGTTGCGGGTCTAAGAGTATAAGTCTTCAGAAACGAAATTGGAAAAGCCTTAGGGTGTGAGGCGCTCTTGACGGGTAAACATTTCATGGGGTGAAAAGCTGATTATTTACAGCCCTGAAGTGTTCAGGACCCCAAATCCACAGGTTTGTAGCGATTGGAAGTCAAATCGTTAGCCTGGAAAGCTTCCACTCCCCTCCCCTAATATGAAAAACCTCCACCCCCGTAATATTTAATATTCCCATGGTGGTATACTATATTATACTGGGAATATTGGATTTTTTGGGGTTGGCTGGGCGGTTTTTATATTGTATTAGGCAGAATCCTTCTGGCTGTGAACTCGGGGTTCAAGGCATACAGCCTGCTCGGTAAGCTAGCTCAGGGGGGGAACTTGGGAAGGTATTCTGCGAGCCCTTTGGGTCATTCGCCCTTAGAGAAACGGTCTCAAAGGGGTAGAAGCGGTTATAATTCCTAGTAAGTATGTCTTGTAGCAATTCTTATTGTAAGGGGGAATGATTCCAGTGAGCCCACAAATACGGACTTGTCTGGTCAAAGATGGCTACAGAATGACATGTCACACGATTTAGGGCTCAATTTCTAGCATTCGGGGTTACGGGCTGGAAAAGGGTATAGGCAACAAGGGAACATAGTCCCTACCATAAATGGGGTTCGAATACGGAATAAGGGAATATAGCCCGTTTATACCCCCTATTTTAGATATTTCCTTCTAGGTCGTTAGGTTAGCTTTGGAGTTTTAGGTTTCAAGGCCAGTAGGTTGACGAATTGAAGTTCGGAGGGATTGAGGTCTACGTGGGGTTCAGGCAAGGTCCCAAGCAGATATACAAGCCGGGCCTAGAGCAGGAGGAATTACAGTGGAAATGGGGTACTTCTTAAGTTGCATGATAAGTACACATGAACCACCAAGCGCATAACAATCAACAGCAATAGCTGTCGCAGGCACGCGAGCTGGCGAACCGATGCCGAGACTCGCCCATGTAAATCAAGCTTCCAAGAGAACCAAAGGGCAGAATTGGGAAAAAGTTGTCAGAAGCTTGCAGGGATGCAAGTATGAGTTCAGAGCTAGTCCTTCCGCTTCCTGATTTGGAACAGGATGATGTGGTCTCTACACTTTAGGGATTGCTAATCAAAATGGCAGGAAACTGCCCAGGGGGTGCGCTGACCAATGCAGCCCTTATTTGATTTGTTTGCAGAACGGACGTCAACCTGCTGTTCTGTCCATGGGCAAGGAAGACCTTCAGAGTCATGAATGTCATGGAGAGATTTCAGACGCTATTTTCCCTGTCTTCGTTTGGGCGTTTCCTGCAGGAGCTGTTGTTCAAGCAACTCGTCTCAAGCTCATTGCATTTGGCAATCACTCCGAGTTTAGCGTGGAAGGTGCGCGGGAGCTTTCCAACTTGGCCTGGTCTTTCGCCACGCTTGGCCACCTGCTTGCAAAGTATTGCACACAGTTGAGATGGTATAAGCGGTGCAGCCAATGGGGGTTGATGTCCTGCTGATCAGTACCCTGCCCGAGTCCCACACTAGCATGCAAGCCCGGCTCATGACCACCCGGTTGTACCAGCAGCCGAAGCTTTCACGCAAGAAGAAGCCGGTGGTAGAGGCAGAAAGACGTTCCAGAATCCTTGCGCTTGTCCCTTCATGCCACCCCTGCGTCCCCTGCCGATATCAAAGCAAGAATTTGAAACGGAAGACGTGTCAAGACGACGATGTTGGCTGTCAAAGGGGGCATTTCATGCTGAATATGATAGCAATGGTGACGAAGATGGTGGTGATAATAACTATGTGTTCACGGCGATGCTGGTCGTGATGGCGATGACAGTGATGACGTAGACAAATGCTGTCACGGTGCTCTGCTTATTGGATGTCCTCGTACCAAGATCCCTTCGATACCAAAATTTTGGCCAGTACAATGTATGCACCGCAGCAACAAGAATAGAAACCGTAGGTAGGGCCTGCTGATGAAGGCCGGTGCTTGTAGCTAGATCGTAGATCACGCCAACATGTGGACAAGTGGGGGGGGTCCCCCTCAAATACCTGACTCAAAAGACGACAATCCTTATTCTGGGAACTCTCAAACATGGACCCCTCATTTTTTGAAGCCCTAACATTGCCTACCCTAGTAATCCCTTCTATATCCCGAGGCATCTTTCTATACCCCTACATTAACCCATGTGTTTCCATGTCCCTTGTAGCTCCCAACAGCCCAGCCGAGGAAAATTGGCCGCACCGTTGGCAATTAGCTTGGCTCTTTCTGCGGGGCCCCTGGCTGATCACTTCAAGTGCCACTTGCCAGACCTGCAGTTGTCCAAATGAGGTACATGATGTAAAGGGGGTAAGCACCGTATCATGAGAGTGCTAAGAAGGTGACTATAGATGTGGCGATATTCGGAAGATGATAGAAAATGTGATCGAAAGCTTGATAACAGTTAGCCCAGAAGAGAAACAACGCAACATGGCATCTGCATAGATGGCGTAGCCATGAGTAATGATGCTAGTTGCTAGTTGTGAGGCAGTAGCTTCAAGCGAGTGTTAGTGTCCAAGGCATGCTGTAATCTCAGCTACGCTTCATAGTTCAAAGACTTGTTGGCCTGCCTGCTCATTGGCCGCAAGCCTTGGGTCACGAAGACAAAAGCGGCCCAAATGGATCTTCGAAGTTAGGCGCAACAACGGTTACTTTATGTAAATAAATAGCAGCAAAGGCAGGCGAATGGTTCCGACAGTTTCCACCTTTTTCATTTGACCCATGGGATCTGTCGCGCTATCGTCTCTGCTCTGCTGTGACTGGCATCGTCATGATTGCGACTATGCTGCTATCAGCGCAGAATATATGTTGTGAAGCCTGGATAGGAGTAAGCTCAAGTTAGGAGCAGGTGAAAACCTAAATCTCCTATACCCGATGTTTTGGATAACGCTGGTGTTTCATACTATGCCTACCTAGTGTGAAGCGCCAAGGCCAGGAGTTGGCAAATGTGGCTTGGGCGTTCGCGACGGCACCTTGCTTCACTGTGGGCCAATGGGGATGGATCTCATAGGAGTATCAGCAAAAGAAGTCAGACTAGAAAGCAGACAGAGCAGAAAAGCATCGCTATGATCGCGGCATTCTGCCAAAGGGATAAGCAGGAAGTGTAACCAAAAGCTTGCGGTGTGCGCGAACATTTCTGCGCTAGCGCTTCTCGCGATGAGACGAGTGGCTGAGAGAGGTGCAGCCTCTTTAGCTTCTGCAACGGAGGAAATCTCATGATGGGACATGCTACTGAGGGAGTAAGAGGTGCGGATTGATAGTTATCCGCAGGCCCAAGGCTTGTGGGTTGAACAGTGGTGCTAGATTTCATCAACAGATTTGCTTTGTGTTGGAACGTGCTGCAATTGAATTGCAAACGCTAGCCAGCGCCAGGCATCAGCAGCTGTCCAGAGCACCTCAGAAGCAACTAAGATGGGACCCCGCTGTCATCTCCACACGCTGTCCAGCATGCGTTCTTCAAGCCTGAGCGCAGACGCAGGGAGGGTGCTTTGAAAAAACTCTAAAATTGCTTTGGATACCATTATCCCAAAAATTATGGGTGAAGGCATAGGGTGAGCTAAGGTTGATGGCCCAACCTATGTATGTAGATTGACAGGGTTCATTCAAAAATCATGTCCAGCTACCTTTTGGTAAAAGACCCTCAAAACTGTTATTCATGCTTATGCAAACTTCGTAACCCCGCTGAGGCCCCAGTGCAAGCTATCCGGAATTGCATGGAAGGTTCCAAAAGTTAGGGAACAGCCCTTGCACAATCCATACAATATAGCATGTTGGGGACTACTTTGGGCCCCTTAAGCCCATACCCTTCAATGGTAGTTTCCCTAGATAGGGGGACCCTAATATAGACAACAAAATATTATGATCCTTAGTATTGGGACCTCCATAAGGTATCCCTAATTTTGGGAAACCCCCCGAATCACACTTTAACTTGACCAATCCGTACAATATAGTCTATTGGGGATTACTTTGGGCCCCTCAGGCCAAAACCCTTGAACCACGCTTCAACTTGACCAAGGGGAGGTGATGAGCTGCCTTCACGGGCTGAAGCAAAGTGCTGTCATCCGGGCGGGCAAATTCAAGCCGCAGGAGCACTCCGCAAGCTTACTGGGTAAAGGGTTTAGGGTTTAGGGTGTTAATAGTCTGTTAATAGGGAACAAGGGAATACTTTATATAGGGATTAGATTACCTTAATAAGGTAGTATAGGCCCTAGATAATCCTGATTATACATGTAATCATACAGTCCCTAGTAAACCCCCAGAAAGCAAGGCAATGATGACCTTAGGCTTCTAGATGACACCCACTCTTTGATAGTTTTTGGTATAGAGATGGTGGGCCAAGCCTGAAGGTTGCCACAAAGAGATCCAATGAATTTGTAGGGTTTGGTGCATGGGAGCTGTTAGATGTGAATATTTGTCCCAAACAGTTGCTAAAGATCGATAACCTTCCGAGTCCTCTACGACCTTGTCAGCCAGGTGCTTTGGAATGCTTGAGACCAATTTACTGCGATCCCTTTGCTATCTGCATGTGCCCAGCAAGAGCAAGAGTTCTAGGAGAAACAAAAAACCCGCAATCTGCAGATCCAGCGCAGCTCATGGCGACACCCCTCAGAACAAGGGCGTTCAGAGCGCAAAAACCAGTTTCCGTTCCTGAGGGCAGGGTACAAGCATTGTAGCTAGGGCAAGGGCTATGAAACATGTTCTCCAGGTAGGCATGAATGAGCCCAAGGTACGTACTGCTCAGAAATGTGGGACAATGCAGAGCGAGCTCTAAGGCAATAAAAGGAAGAGAAATGATTTGAGGACTGGAGTGTACATGCCCTGATTGCTTGATGCGGGAGAAGTTACTACAATATCGATTCTATGTAAGACGTGTGTACTGTAACCCCATTGTTTCTGGACACCTGGATTTTAGGTAGGAGTTGCCCAACAGGCAAATCTTGCAGCCCTACAGTTAACAGTTTTGCTAGTTCCATTATAGCTGAGTAGCATTTCAATAGTGGTGCCACAGGCCCTGATGTAGATTGATGTCGTCACCCCATTTGGTCGTAGCATGCTATGAGCAGAAAAGTTCTAGGCTAGTGCTAGGGGACTAAACCATTACCGGTATTGTGGTCCTAGATTCCTTATCTTCTTACAGTAGTTAGGGTGCCTCAATAGACCACGAGAAGGATGTTGATAACTACTTAGCCTTCTCGGCATCATAACCCCTTATAGATGCCCATAGCGAACCAGGTTCCCTGTAAATTCCATCTTCATGTCCATTTCATTCCTTCATGGGTAAGTCTAGTACTGGGCCATATATTCCCTATAACCCCCCATATATCCCTACAAACCTTACACAGCCGCCTATAAGCCCTACATAACCCCTATTTGGTTCCTACATGGCCATACTTACCCTAAATGCTAAACCCTATATTTCGACTTCTTTCAAATGCCTTTGACTTCCAGGAGCTTGGCAACTTCAGTTGGGCCCTTGCCGCCGCAGAAGTGCAAGGTCAAGCGGCTTTTCCTTAGACTCCCCGTGAAGGATTTTCGGTTTCGTGGAGTAGGATTGTTGGGACTTGGAGCCTTGAGCGTTTTGAGTTTGTGTTTGCGGCTTAAGGGCCCGGAGTGTTCCAGCTTGGGCTTTTGGAGTTTGGGGTTGACAGCCTGGAGCTGCGACATTTGCGTTTCCTTTTGCAAGGTATGCTTGTATCAACGTAGAATGGAGGTGTCACCAACAAATGTTTGTGCACATTTTTGAAGGATTCCCTTTGGCATTTGCCCTGGCTATGGCAATTTTCAAATCACAGCTCGTTTCTGTTTTTATTGCGTCTCTAACAGTTGACATGTTGATGGCTGTCCTTACTGCCAGGGACAGAGTGGTTTGCAGTGGCGGCAGCGACCTTTGATCGATCGCCAGCGGCTTTCAACTCCAAGGACTTCCAGTCTAAAGGGGGCCCTACCTCAGACATGT